AGATTTTTATTTATTTGACTTATCCACACTGGACAATCTGCTATTTTGCATAATTTAACAATAATTACTTTGGTGAGATTGTTTCCAGTTTTGTATATCTATTTTATGAATCACAAAATTCCCAAAAAGAGCAAATTTTCTTTATAGAATGGGTGCATCACTCATTTATTCTTAAATTTTTGCTTATTCGAGATATATAACATTATTCTTTTACTCAATCCTTTTGAGTGTAGCATCATGCTATCTTTGGGTGGGCAGTAAAGGTAAATATTAACTATGCTTATATGATGTTAATAATACTTAGGAAAATAAAAGATACAATCAATTAGCTTATATTTAGGAAAAACACCAATTACGTATTTTGAATTTTTTTATAAATATGAATTATTTTATGATACTTAAAGAGATTGGGTTGACTTTTTAATCATTATATGGATACAACATTAACTATGTAACAATTCTCAAGCATTGTTGAGAGTTAACTCAAGCTCAAGCTGTGGAATGGCAAGCTTTGGGCCTTGAATTTCTGTTTCTTATCACAGAAAGGAAAGCATGGAGGGGGTGAATTCATGTATGATATATTTAATATATTGTAACAACTTTTGTAAATGCCACAATGTACCCCCACCCAACACAACAACAAAAAATAAAAATAAATAAAATGCATGGAGAATTGATGTCCTCCAGATGATAATTTCTTATGAACTTAAGGCCCAGAAAAGCAATGCTATCATTTTTCTTTCATTTTAGACACTACTAAATATCATTTGTAAGAAAGATTTTGTTATACCAGAGTGCAAACACAGGAGTCGTGAAATAAACAACAGATCCAACTGGTTCAACCGAAAACTGTAAAAAGCATATGAATAGGTAGTACACAGAACAGCAAATTAAAAAGACCAACAAGGATAAGAAATGGTGTTCCTAAGAATAATGGAATAAGACAAGAATATTTGTTCTTGCTACTTCTGTTCTATATAGTTCTGGAAGTCCTATGGAGAATTGTTGATCAAGAGGAAAATTTAAAGTGCATCCAAATCAGAAGCAAGAAGAATTATCTCTCTCCAGACAATGTATCTTATAGATAGAAGACGCTGAATGCTGAATGTAAACACTGTTAGCACAAATAAACAAAAGTTGAAGGACACAAAATCAATATAGAAAATAGTAGAATTTCTGCACATTAAGAATGAGCCACACAAAAATGAGTAAAATATTCTATTTGCAATAATTTAACCAGAGTTGAAAGACCTATAGCCTTCATACTATAGAACATTGATGATAGAAATTGGAAAAAACATAAATAAATGGAAAGATGTTCAGTATTCATAGACTGGGAGAATAAATATTGGTAAAATGTTCATAATACATAGTAATCTACAGATTCGATTCAATTTCATTCAAAATTCCAATGACATTTATCACTGACATAGAAAAATAAATCCTAAATTACCTTGAAGCAAAGTAATCTGGGACAAAAATAAAGCATGAAGTATCTTAATACTTCAAAATATACTAATGCTGCAGTGATCAAAAGATCACTTTGTACAGGTACAAAATCAGACATACAGACCATGGATTAGAATAGAGAGCATAGAATTAAACCCACATATACTCCATCAACTAATTTATGATCTGCATGTCATGAATACACAATGCAGAAAGGATCATCTCTTTAATGAAATTTAAAAATAGAGCTGCCATATGATCCAGCTATGCCACTTTTGGGCATAAATCCAAAATAGGATGTTGAAAAGATATCTGCAAGCCCACGTTCATTGCAGCATTACTCACAGCTCGTGAGAGCAAAGAATAGAATGGTGGTTACCATAGACTATGGTTGGGGAGATATCATTCAAAAGATAGAAAATTGCAGCTAGTCATGAAGATTAAATTCAGGATGTCTATGATACAAAATGTTTTTAATATTTAAAAATTGAGAGTAGCTTTTCTATTTTCTCATCACACATAATTTTGTAAGGTAATACATATGTTAAATTGTTCAACTGAACTTTTTACAATGTATACTTATATCAAACTTCATGTTGTACATCTTGTGTTTAATGTTTACTTTTCAATTAAAAATGGGCATATTAATTTCTTGTACAAAGTTATAAAACTCCTAGAACATCATGGGAAAAACTTAGATGATATTGGGTTTGGCAATGACTTTCTAGAACTAAAACCAAAGGCACAATTCAAGAAAAAATTGATAAAGTAGAATTCATTAAAGTTAAAGTATCTTGAGTTGCAAAAGACAATGCCAAGAGATTACAAAAGACCATATACAAGGAGAAAATGGTTGCAGAAGGTATATGCAGTTATTAAAAATAGTTAAAAATAAAACCATTATCCAAAATACACTGAGAATCCTTAAAATTAACCAGAAAGCAAGCAATCTGATTAAAAATGGGCAAAGACCTTAACAGACACTTCATCAAAGAATATATGCAGAAAACAAATGAGCATATTAAAATGCACATTGTAAAGAGCAATCACTACACACTTATTAGAATGGGCAAAATATAAAACAATGGCAATATTAAATGGTGTGAAGGAACAATAGGAATTTGTTGCTAGTGGGAATGGAAAATGGTAAAGGTGCTTTGGAGGTTTGACAATTCTGTGTGTGTGCGTGTGTGTGTATGTGTGTGTGTGTACTTTTATCACACAGTACTGAAAACATGTTCATTTTCATTCCATTGAATTTACCCTTTAAATCTGAAACCTTATGCCCACAAAAAATATTCACATGTATACTTAAACTGGCTTCTTTCACTTTTAATAATGTGTACTTAAGCTTCCTTCATGTTTTTTCCTAATGCTTGATAGTTTCTTTTTGCACTGAAAAATATGCCAATGCCTGGACACAGTTTTTTTTTTTCCAGTAACTACTGAAAGACATTATGGCTGGTTCCAAATTTTGGCATTTCTGAATTAAGCAATTTAAGTAAGTATGTGAATGATTTTCTTTAGGCATAAGTTTTCAAATTTGAAGGGTGAAAAGATAAGTATGACAAAAACATAGTAGAAAAAAGAAATGGTGGTGACACAAGAGCAGAGAAAGTCTCCATTCATAGCAATGACAACAGTAGAACTTAGAAGAAAAGAAAAATTTATGGTAAATGTGACTTTACTGCACTAGAAGCCTTTGGCCAGTGGAGGGATATAGTGGTTTCTCTGTGGAGATGTGGCCTTGTGTTGATGGGGTTTAAGTCATTTGGAGGGCATTTGGGGTTTCCAACTAAAATATAATGGTTGGTTGTACTACAAGTGTGGAAGCAGTAGAAATATAGTGAAGCTGATGAATTAAAAATATTTTAGAGTTATTAGCAAGACTTACTAATGGGCAGGATGAAGAAAAAGTAGTAAATAGGGTGACTTAGCAATTTTAAATGAAGTCATCAGTTTAAAATCAGTGCTATTTACTGATTTGGTGAAGACACGGCAAGAAGTAGACTTTGGTAGAGGGATAGCAGAGTTCTCTTCAGGAAGTTTTAATTTGAGATGCCTAGAAGACAGTCAAATAGATTCCCTAATAAAATATTTGCATATATGCATTTGGAACTGAGTAGAGAATTCAATACTGACTTTACAAATAGTACTCAATAGCATAAGAATGGTCTATAAAGCCATGAGAATGGTTGCAATGACAGAAAAATAATAAGGTATAACAAAAGAACTGCTAGGAAAAACATCACACCACTATTGAATTTGACTACATAAAGGTTCTTGGTACCTTTGTTGGGTTTCTGTAAAACGGTAGCAATAGAAGATATTTTTGTGACTGCACATTAAATTGACTCTAAAACCAAAATTTTACATTCCATAGGAGAAAGTTACTTTAAGGGCATTTTTTTGAGGAAAAAAGAGGATTTTAAATGACTCCTTAAGTCCTCAGAGAAAACAGTTCCAGAAAAGCTTTAAAATACGTGTAGACAATGGAATTTTATGCAGCCATGAAGAAGAACGAAATATTATCATTCACTGGTAAATGGATGGAATTGGAGAACATTATTCAGAGTGAGGTTAGCCTGGCTCAAAAAACCAAAAATCGTATGTTCTCCCTCATATATGGACATTAGATCAAGGGCAAACACAACAAGGGGATTGGACTATGAGCACATGATAAAAGCGAGAGCACACAAGGGAGGGGTGAGGATACGTAAGACACCTAAAAAACTAGCTAGCATTTGTTGCCCTTAATGCAGAGAAACTAAAGCAGATACCTTAAAGCAACTGAGGCCAATAGGAAAAGGGGAACAGGTACTAGAGAAAAGGTTAGATCAAAAAGAATTAACCTAGAAGGTAACACCCACGCACAGGAAATCAATGTGAGTCAATGCCCTGTATAGCTATCCTTATCTCAACCAGCAAAACCCCTTGTTCCTTCCTATTATTGCTTATACTCTCTCTACAACAAAATTAGAAATAAGGGCAAAATAGTTTCTGCTGGGTATTGAGGTGGGGGGAGAGGGAGGGGGCGGAGTGGGTGGTAAGGGAGGGGGTGGGGGCAGGGGATAGAAATGAACCAAGCCTTGTATGCACATATGAATAATAAAAGAAAGATGAACAAAAAAATAAAATAAAAAATAAAAACTTAAAAAAATAATAAATAAAAAAAAATACGTGTAGAATCTTACTGTAAGTCCAGGGAGGAAAAAGGAGGTTCATAGAATAGGGAAAAGGGGACAAACATCATATTCTACTCTTTCTACTGGTTCCAGCCAATCGAGATTAACAGGGTGTATCAACTGCTTAACCATGAGTTACAGGAAAAATTGATCCTTAGTAGTTGATGAATAAGGAACTACAGAAATATAAAAACAGTAAACATCAATTTAAATCTCATAAATGATTAAACTATTTTTAATTCTACTTGACTTAAAATAAGACAAAACTAACTTACCAGGTACATTCATCTTGATGTGGAAGTAGCATAGTCTCAGAGATGGTGGTGTAGATGCAGGGAAATAATGCATTTTCTTTCCTTTTCTCCCTTTCTTCTTTTCTTCCTTCCTTCCTTCCTTCCTTCCTTCTTTCCTTCCTATAATTTCTATTTGCTTCAAAGTACATTTTCTAAAAATTGTTTAATTTCTTTACATGACTCCTACAGTTCTTTACTTAAATAAATGGATACAGCTTGAGGCTTTTTAAATTTATAGATATAGCATCTGACTTCCTGGATGTTTTAAAATTGTCGTTGAACATTACTTTAAAATTTTTTGTATCTACAGATTCAGTGTCATTACCTTCCTTATCTTTACTTGAATATTCTTCTTTGAATCTTTCTAGAGATCTTATAATATTTCCTATCCCCAAATCCTTCAATGTATCCTCTCTTAATTTTTCTTAAAATCTTTTTAATTTTTTTATCTTTTTGAAGTCAATCTTGTCTTCTTTTTTGCCCCTATTTTAAAATTATATGATTAATTCTTTGAACATTCTTTTTAACTCATAGATTTAATTTCAGATTATGACAGTTGTTTCATTGAATATGATTTTGAATAATTCTTCCAGTGTGAGTTACTGTCCAAGACCTACTTTGCCTTCTTGGCACCCTTCTTGGAATCCTTCTTGGAGCCTTTCTTTTCATCTTTCTTTGATTCAGAAGATTCTGTATCTGTGTCTTTCTTGACTTCTTTCTTCTTGCTGTCTTTCTTTCTATTTTTTTTGGAATCTTTCTTGGAGTCCTCCTTTGATTCACTGTCTCCACTAGCTGCCTTCTTTTCATCTTTCTTATCTTTTTTGTCCTTTGCATCTTTCTTGGCATCTTTCTTGGCATCTTTTGACTCATCACCTTTCTTGTCATCCTTAACCTTTTTTGCATCTCCCTTTTCAGCTTCTGAATCTATAGGTCCTTCTTTGATCTTCTTTGAATCTTTTTTCCCTTTTTTGGACTCTTTCTTTGCTCCAGCTTTTCCATCATCAGATTCTGTGGTTGATTCCTTACCCTTTGAGTCTTTTTTCCCTTTTTTGGAATCTTTCTTTTTGCCAGCTATTCCATCTTCAGATTCTGTGGTTGAATCCTTGCTCTTCGCATCTTTTTTCCCTTTTTTGGCATCTTTCTTTGTGCCAGATTTTTCATCTTTGTATTCTGTGACTGATTCCTTGTTCTTTGCATCTTTTTTCCTCTTTTTAGCATCCTTATCTACATCCTTGTCTTTCTTTAATTCTGACCTACCTTTGGATTCTGATTCTGAATCTGATATATCTCTGTCTTTTTTCTTACCAGTTTCTGGAGATAAAGGTCCCTTTACACGTACATCTTTAGAATCCTCCTTCAGGGAAAGAGAGGGTTTAGATGGAGGCTTCCTCCTGGCAGCTAAATAAACAGATGGTCTTTCAGAAATTCTCATTAAAGAACGGTGCATCCATAACGGCGGTCTATGAAATCCCAATTTTTTTTCATCAGTTTTCTGAAATGTTGGTTCCAATAACAATGAAAAAATTGTGAGTAATACAGCTCTTATTGACAGATTCTAGATTAGTTTTACTTCAACCACTACAACATTTTAGATTTTTGGTAAAGAGTGGATAAACTCTATTTTGATTTTTGAATTTTAGCATTTTTAAACCAATGGATAATTATGTCTCCACTGGGGTCTGTTAAGATGATCCTTAAAATTTCCTCAGCATTTTATGTTAAAATTGTTAGAGCCCTGTTTTGATTCATGATGTTCAGAAGCTCTCTTCACTATCAGGAGAGACTTTTATTGTTTATTTTTGACTTTGTGCTATTGATAAATCTTGGAATGTCTGGCCTACCCTTTATTTTTGCAGGAAATAAAAGTGTAGTTCTCCCTAAGATCTAACAGTTTCAAGTTCAGGCATATCTTAATCTATACTCTCAGTTTTAAGGTCTCTGGAAATTAGACTGCCACCCGTGGTTGCAGATAAAAGCCTGAAATTCTTCCTGAATGACAGGATATAAATTGAATGTTACAAGGTAGCTAACAAAAACATTCAGGGCACATTATGATACATTTGTTTTCAAATTCTAAACCAAAATTTTGCAAAAAAACAAATGGCCACAATGGCTAATTTTGATAAGACTCTTAATAAAAGGTAAAACAAATTAAGGGGAAAAAAGGAAAGAATACTGATCACTATTGATGCAATCCACTTAATAAAATAGAGTTGGTGTTCATTTAGTTTGTGAGAACTTTTCCTTATGCATTCAATATTTGTTGTGATCACTACGGAAATATTGGGAAATATTTATCTTCTAATTCTCAACCTGAGTTCTATATTGTAAGAAGTAATGAAGTATTGACAAGGCCTAGTATGATTTCATAATAAAACATTTCCTGAATATTCATACAAACTGTAAATTAAGTCTCTAGATGTCTATGCTTCTTAACAGATTTTATACAATGCAAATAGCTAACATGAAATAAGTGATGCAATGAAATGCAAATAAAATATACTTTCTCCAAGTAGCAGACTTATCTTTAAATGTGCTTTGTGATATGATATTCATCAGCCATATGTGATCTTTATTTACATCCTTTAAATTTAATTGAAATGTAAAATTCAATTATTCAGTTCCACTAACCTTGTTTTAAGTATTCAATAGTAATTCTGGACTACAAAATGTCCATCATAAAAGAAATCTTGCTTGGTCAACTTTAATGTTTAACACATATAGTAATTACATGTGATACATAAGCTTATTACTAATAAAAATGCTTACTCATTACTAATTATATAATTTTCTCTGCAATACTTACAGGAACTGTATTGTCACGTAGTTGGGAAGGTATTGATCTCCTTTTTGTTCCTGGACGTTGTGGTTTGGGAAATGCCAAGGAAAAATGTTGCTGATTCCATGATTTTTTGCTTAATTCACTGACTAAAATAAGAAAGGCAATAACTTTGGAGTAAATAGGTAGAATTTCATTAAAATGAAATGGCTGTTAAGTGCAATATATACCATGTAAATAAATAAAAAAATGATTCAAATTATAGGTTCATTTATTTGGTAGTGTTTGAAATTTTCTGTGATGAATATGAGAAATATAAAATATCTATTTTTCTATTTTAACCAGTTTTAAAAATTGTTATATACCAGTTTTGTAGATAAAAATATAATCATTGTAATTTATATCACAAATGCAAAGAAACAGAATTCCTGCTGCATTTTAAATCTTATTATCTCTACCAGTCTAGGCTTTTACTTTATATTCTTTTGGTTAGAATATAATTTTGAGAACAGAAAATATGTTAAATGCTTCTCTAGCTCCCAAAGTACTTAGCACAGCAACTGGTATAAAATGTTCAGCAAATGCATAATTGAATCCAAGTGCTAAGGCTTAAGTCCCTTAAGTTAATATTCATTTGCCAAGCTACGAGAGTAAATGCTACACACCCAAAGACCACACTGTCATTGGTAACATGCTTACTAAAGAAAAATTGACAAAACACCTGCAGAATGATTACTGTGAGGGTGAAGTTACCTGGAAACTATAATAGAAATAGTTAAGGAATTTAAGTTACAAACAAGCTTATAGTGACAGATGTCACCACCCCATTTAATTATTGTATAAGAGAAAATAGAGTTCTTTCATGAGTATGCCTAAATATCATTAGCATCAGTGGAGAAAATGGAGGGAATAAAAGGCATATTTAGGATCAATATGTGAGAGAAAACCACTTGATATTTAAATTGGTTAAACATTAGATAGGTTTGGCTTGTCTAGTAATGAGGGTTTTTTTGCTGTTGATAAGCTGGATATATCTATCATGAATGCAGTATGAGAAGTTGGGAGAGAAGTTTTTTATGAAATTTATACATTAGGCTTCGACTGCAGGAAATCTGATTATGTGAATTCAAACACAGAAATACGTCGACCTTTAAACACATTTGCTTAATAACCCTTAGATTTAAAAAAAGTACTATATTTAGAAAGTGTTTACTGAGCCCATGAGAAAAGTTCCTTAGGAAATAAAACATTGGTTATGAATTGCATCTCATGATAGTTTTTGATTTATCACTTTAAACGGAAGATAAAAATCACTCTTAAAATTAATCATGCATGTTTTTTAATAAGCATTATAAAATAAATTTTATAATAAATATTGTACTGTTTCTTACCTGGAATATAATTATCATATGCTCCAAAGTTTACTTTTTGACTATTAAAATAAAAGGCAAAATTTGTAATTAATTTATATAAAATCACTTTATTTAATGATCATTATAGGCAAGTAGTTGAATATTTTTTGCATTCTCAGATCCCCATTACTAAGTAACATACTCTCATTTCCATGATAGTAAAGATGAACACATATGTATTCAAACTTCATTTCATGCTCCAAGTTCTCTTGCAAATGAATTTGAACCAGGATATCACTTTATAGCCCTATGTTTAAGTAAAAGCAAATCCTCAAATGTGCTCAGATCTAATCACTTCCAAATCATTAAATGCCATGTGCACATCTGTGGAGGTGTGGTTGTGTGTTTATGTGTGCAAGTCAGCCTGTGCTATAAGTACTGACATGGAATTTCATTCTTTTTGTCTTTAAAATAATCTAATAAATTGTACTGTAATCTGTTTTCCATTTATAAATTCTCACTTGTTTAATTACTCTATGAGCATGTTTGTTTCCATGAAGATGAGTTATTTAAGCTAACTTTTATTTTTAATAGAGACTATTAGTGAAATGTTATCAATTAATAAAATAGTATTCTTTATTGTTCCATTTTATTACACAGTCATTAGTCATCATGAGTGAGTTTGAGGATTACACTCTTACACAAACACATACATGCCACATACACACATACTCACTTAATAGTTTATTTAATATGGGAGTTCATAAAAACTAAGAATTAAATAAAAAGTATCTCAAAAACTTGATGAAGGAATGCAGTTCCCAGAATTAGTCCTGGTAGATTTTTGTGATTGTATGAAAAGTTGAATAACTAAGTGAATAAAATTTAGAATAATGTTGATCTATCAGTTATACATTCTAATGTTTTCTTAAATTACTAAATACATGAAAATCATTTGACCTACTATGTCTGAATTTCTAAATTTAGATTTACCAATGTATACTTATATGCTGCAAATGAAATTTTTGTGTCTAACCCCAATTATGAACTGTTTTATTCCAAATTCTACAGAAGAGAAAATGTTCATATTTATAAAGCAATACTGCTCAACTTGAGATTTTCAAGATGGTAGATAAGGACAGCACACTCATTTTGTATAACCTCTAGAACATATTATTTGATTATTAAATAATTGAATTTGAAATTTTATCTAGAAAATGCATATTTGAAAAACTCAAAAAGTTATGTAATACCACTATAGAGAAGAATTTATAGCTTTACTTCCTCACATAAGGTTAAAAAAGTTTAAAACTCTGCAAAATTAAGAAAACTCTATGTAGAGAATGAGATAAAATGTTTCAATTCATATTCTAGGCCAATATTAACAGCTCAAACTTCTCAGTGTCATTGATATAAAATAATATTGCAGATGAAAATATCTTATTAACAGAACCATATATCCTTAAATTTTAACAGTTCTTATTGAAAAATACATAAAATGGGTAATACACCATGATGGATGGAAGTTTACTCTCCACGATGTTAAGCTGATTTAACATAAAACCAACTAATACAACCAATCATGTCACATGACAAAGTGAGTAGGAAAAATAAACTGATCATCTTAGTATATGCAGAAAATGTCTAAATAGGAAAATTCATTCATAGTTAAAAATTATGAGAAAAATAGTATGAGAAAGTATCTTCCTAAGATAGATAATATATCTCCAGAAAATGTCTTTGTTAAAAAGCAATTTAATGCTGGAATATTGACTGTATTTCTCCTATAATTTCAAACAATTATACTTATTCCTACATTTCTATTCAGCACCATAATTCAGAATCTATTTCATTCCATAAGGCTATTAGAAGCATCAAGACTGGAAAGGAAGGAGTCATTTTGTCTCAATTGACAGAGGACATAATTGGATCAAGAGAAAATACAATAACATATGCATAAAGAATCAAATTAGTTAAATGGATACAATAAGATTATATATTAGTGTCTAATTACAGACACTATCAAAAATTTAAAATACATAAATCTAATAAAATATATTAAATGACATAAAAACAAATTATGAAGAACAAAGTTTTCAGAAAAACTAGATAGCACCTTGGACAGATACCTATGGAACATTCTGTACAAAAACTGCAGAATACACATTCTCTGCTACAGAACATGGAACATTATACAGGCTAGACCATATGGTAGACCACAGAATAAGTCTTAACAAATTTTTAAAATTCAAAATCTTATTGCAAAAAAGAAAAGATCACAATGCAAAAAAGGTGGGAAATGATAAGAAAAACTATATAGACATGGAAATTAAATGACTTACTCTTGAACAACCAATGGGTCAAGAAAGAAAACAGATGAGAAATTTTAACATTTTTTGAAACAAATGAAAATGGAAACACCACTATACCAAGACCTCTGTGTTACAGAAAAGGAAGTTTAGAGCATCCATATCTACATTAGAAATGCAGAAAGATTTCAAATAAAAAATAAAATACTTCTTGCTGCATGTCAATAACTAAAAACAAAACAAAAATAAAAACCAGAAATGAAACTGGAAATTAAGTTAAGTGAGATAAACCAGGCACAGACTAGTAGTAGAATGTGTAAAGGTTAATGTCATAGAGTTTAAGAGTAGAATTATAATTACCAAAGGATGGGGAAAGTACTGGGGGGGAGAGGGAAGATGACCAAAGTTGGTCAATGGGTATTAAGTTACAGTTATGAAAGAGTAAAAAGTTCCAGTATGCTCTTGTATAGTTAGGTGAATTTAATAATGATAGTATACTGTATACTTCAAAAAGCTAAAAGAAAGAAGTTTGAATGTTTTCACCAAAAGAAATGATAAATATTTGGGGGAATAGATATGTTTAACCTGGTTTAAGCATTACACATTGTACACATGTTGAAGTACTACATTGTATCCTCCACATATAGTGTGTGTGTGTGTATGTGTGTGTGTGTGTGTTCACCAAAAGAAATGATAAATATTTGGGGGAATAGATATGGTTAACCTGGTTTAAGCATTACACATTGCATACATATGTTGAAGTACTACATTTTATCCTCCACATATAGTGTGTGTATGTGTGTGTGTGTGTGTGTGTGTGTGTGTGTGTGTTTATATCTCCAAAGGGAAGTCCAAACAAAGACTTGGACAAAATGTTTATGGTAACTTTATTCCTAATAACCCAATGACTAAAAGCAACTCTAGCGTCTAACACTCAAGAAAAGGATTAACTTTGGAGTGGCATATTCATGTGATGAAATAGTACTTAGAAATTTGAAAGAAAAAATTACTATATGCAACAAGACAGCATGAGTAAATGAAAAAAAAATCTTATTGAAAGAAAAATATACACAAATGTAGAGCATACATTGTAGTATTTGTTTGTATGCAGTTCAAGAATAAATAAGACTATGGCAACTGAGCAGTTTTATTAGGGAGAAGTAGAGTGGATTGACTGGAATCTGGCACAATGTAACTTTCTGCTGTGGTCAAAAATTCTACATATTTCTTAAGGTTGGCTAGTTTAGAATTAGTTACAATTAAATGAATTTTGATCTCATGCATTTTACTAAGAAGAGTTTATATTTCCTCAAATGGCAATAAACTGAATACCCTAGTCCCCTCTCACTATGTAAATTTATCTATACTATAATCAGTTGAATCAATTTACCTTTTTAGACTTTTTTCAAGTCTTTCCACCAAATCTAGTTCTAGCAATGAGAATATCTCTTGTTTTGCCTCTCTGGGACAGTGAAGACATTCTCCTTATATCAGGTTCATTTGGATTCTATTTTGGACATTTCTTATAGAAACAAGAAAATTATTTTTAAAATGAACTATTAGCATCTCTAATTATTTTGAAAAATTTTATGTGAATGTAATGACCTTCACTAAAACAGAAAAAATCTGACACTTAAGTCAAACGGGGTTTTTCTCAGTAAGGCTAGTACTTGAGTTAAGGTCTCTCTCTCTCTCTCTCTTTCTCTCTCTCTCTTTATATATATATATGTATGTATAAAACACACAGAATACTTAATTCCTCATATTAGGGAAGATGAAGTGGAATACAGAAACCTATGGGTCCAATCATTTCAAAATCTGATTTTTTTTGACATAGACATATTCCACTTATTAGCCATGAGGAATGTAAGGCTAATTGTTACATAGAAAGGGAAGCTAGGTTCAGGATTTCCTAAATAAAAAGGTGCAGTCTCAATCTAGGAGACATAGGAACTTTATGTTTAAGAGAAAAATGTATCTGTGTTGCTACCAGAGAATATTTTCACTTTAAAGCAGTACACATCTAACCAAGTTTTTTTTTCTTGTTTATTTTTTAAATTTCAATGTAAAATAACTTCAATCTGAATACAAACATACCTACTTTTATTCTTGTTTTCCGCTGTATCTCTGCTTGGACATGTTTTAAAAATATGTAATAAATTCCCAGGTGAAAGGCTTTAAGTGATAGGATACCTGCCAGTCTCAAGTACCTGTTTGTGAGAACATCACCAGATTTCCTGCCAGTAGACTTTGGGTTTTTAGACTGTACATCTAGCTACAGGAAAAATAAGGACGTAAAAGACTTAGGAGAGAGTTTTCCAGGCTTTCAGTGTGGTCTGAGTCACTGTTCTGATATTGGCTCCAGGGTCTCTGTATGAAGGAAAAGGTCAACACTAGGGATGACTGTTACTGAAGGATGGCTTTATGGGGGATAACTTTTTCTTTCTCTGACATTTTCTGGAGCAGCTTCTCATCATGGGTATATTTTGAATCCTTCACCCAAGGAACATTTTGTAACAAGCTACAATTGTTTGTTTAACGTAATTGTGTGGGGGGGTTTGGGATGAGATGACACTGCATCTAGTAGGCAGAGATCAGGGAGGGAGGTTGCTGAATATCTTCTGATGTACAGAATGCTGTGGTATTCCCTCTTCCAGTCTCATACCAACCCAGGGTTATCTGGCCTAATATATTGTTATACTTGTCGATAAGCAGTTTTCTAGGTCAAAGAATATCTCTAGACCAGGACAGTAAAAGACTTTATTGATATAACTCGAGGGAGAGAAAAATATAACATGTACACACTTTATACAGCCTACCTGATGCCCAATCTTTGGAAGAACCTCTCCTACATCCTGTTGAAATCTTAGTCTTATTTAATAAGAGAAATGGAAGGACTAAGCTGACTACTACCACCTGAGTTGGAGACCAAAGCAAGTCAAAGTGAAACTATCAAGTTGGGTAGTAGAGGTTTGGATAAATAGAAGGTACTAATGAGCAATGAGTGAGGAAGGGGAAATTCAGCTCAAAGAAGACAATTTTCTTTATCAGGAACAAGTTGGTAACCATGGACACAGAATGTTAAGCCTAAAAGAAAAAACTATGCCAGGAATGGGGGTGGGTAAAGGAGAATGATTGAGGGGGGTGAATAAAGTATGATATATTTGATACATTGCAAGAACTTTTGTAAATGGCATGTTGTACCCCCACCAAGCACATTAATAGAAATGAAGATAAAATCCCCAAAATATAAAAGAAAAAACACCACCACAAAGTCCTGTGATTCAGAGTAGAACTTTTTTTTTAGCATCTCACGTTCTCTGCTTTAAATGGATTGAGTTTTAGTACTAAAATACAAGAAGTATACTAATTTTCTGCTAAAGACTTTTGTGTGTGCTTCATTGGCTAACAGTGAGGTCATTTGAGTTCTAGCGAATTTCAGGATCACAATAGGCCATCATCATAAATAGTTTTAAGACAAAATGTAGGTAACGATGATATTGCAGTTCCTTAAAGGTTATGAAATACTCATGATAACAACAATACCATTGATATTTTATTATGCTTCAAGATTCTAGGATAATTAAGATTCAGTGTTGTTATGGCATATCAGATGCCAGAACATATTTCACTCTGTAACAGTCTTTAAATCTCTTGGCCTTAAAAATAGTCACAACATCCATTCAAGCTTTCACCAAAGACTGCCCTTTTCCTTTCTTAAGTGGATTTTTTTGTTAATGTATATTAATTACACAGAGGAGTTTGACCATGGTATTTCATACATGGATAAATTGTACTTTGATCAGACTAACCTCCTCTGTTGTTCTTTCTTTTCCTCCCCTCACCCTATTTAATAGATTTTATTGGGTTCCATTATACCATCTTCCTACATAGACAACATGTACTTTGATAAAATGATAATTGTTCTCCAAGGAATTAGGAAACAATGCTTAAGGAAACCTAATTTATTTTTAAGATTTATGCATTATTTTCTATTTAACAAAACTGTTGAAAGAAATGCAACCACTATTTCTTTTGTATTTCAAAATTCTATTCCTTCATCCTTGACAAAATTGGCTGATCTTCTTTGTATAGGACTGCCTCATTTAACCCCAAAGTTTTAACAACCCTAACCCATGACCTTCAAAGTTCAGTAACCCACATTAGTCACTGTGACATTTGTAAAACATGTGCCCAGAAATTTCCAACCGACTCCTAGTAAGGAGATCCATGAATTATTTGATTTTATAATCCCAAAAATACAATGTGACTGGAAATCAAGATTTCCAATAAAAAAAAGACTTACATAAAGCTACCTATTTTGCTGAAGTACATGAACTATACATGTAGAATTTAGATCAAACTAGTCAATGATTTTGATGGAAAATATATGTCCCTGCTTCAAAACATTCTTGATCACTTATGATGGCACAATAATCATGTCATAAACATAATTTTACACTAAGAGAATAAATGTTAAACTAACTAGAGCATTTCAGTTAGTTTAGAACATAAAATTTGACAAAAGGACTTACAATCTTGGTAAAGACATTTCTCCCACCTATGACTTGCCAGGACTTAAGTATTATAAATTCAGAGTAGTGATGTTGAGTGGTGACATCATAAAGAGGCCAAGAGTCCTGGGCCTTAAAGAGGAATCACAAGAGGAGTCACTTCTACATATGTTTAATATGCTACAAAGTTTACTCTTAGTGTCACTGACTAAATTTTAAAACTACTGATTGATTTACATCTTGATAAAACACTTGTGTTTTCATGCAGTTTTATTTTGTTGGCATATATGGAAAAAGATAAAACTGACATTTTTCTGTGAGCAGTTATAAGGCTAATTTCCCTTACATTTGTGTATCTTTTGTCAAATCATTTGCTTAATTACATTTCCTCTCATCTTATTAATCTTATGGCATGCTCATAGACACAAGATTTTTAAAGAATGCTAAAAGACTATTAAAATTATAAACATCTATCTGAGTCAGTATATATGGAAACAGCTCTCCACCATAACAGATGAATAAGACTTCTATGTGTTGTAGTGTTTGAATATTTTGCTTTTGCTTAGCTCTTTCCTTTCTCTAAAGGGAACAGTTTCCTTAGATAAACTTCAACTGCTATCAAAGGTTTTGACTCAAGGAAAGATTCTGGCATACCAGGCCACAGTAAATTCTGAAGGCATTGGTGTGGGATCTTCCACAATTCAGATTTCTGTGATCTGATTGTTTCAATATCCACAAATTTATCAGTCTTAGCGCTAATGTTCTCCTGCAAGAATGGTCATTTAAGTATCAAAGCATAACATATAAATCTAAAATATTTCACTTAGAATTTTATATTTCACTGAAAATATTTAGACTGAAATGCATTTCTGGTTTCAATGTACACTAAGATCCAAATCATGAATGGACAGCCAACTCGGCTTGCCTTTGAACCCGACCCCTTCATCTCTCCTTGTTGTTCTTAATGTGTTTGACCATTAATATCTTAGAGAGCCAACAGTCTTATATAATGGGTATTTATCAGTCTTCTGTCGCTATGTAAAAAATTTCCATAAACTTACATAAAATAACACCCATTTATTATCACATAATTCTGCAGACCAGAAGCTCAGGCAAATTTGACTGCATTATCTGTTCAGGGTTTCACATTGCTGAAAACAAATTAACAGCTGGATTGGGCTTTTATTTGTACTTTTGTGAAAATGTCATTAAGTTTTCCATACAGCAATAGATCACTTGCAATTTTACAGAAACTTCAATACAGCACATCTTTCTATTAATTTGTTTCATATTTTACTTCTTCTGTTGGAGTTTTATCAGTTTTAGTGTAGATATCTTTGAATTTGCCTTAGTCTTTTTTCTACTGTCATATTAAAATGCCACAATCCAAGTAATTTATAAATAATGTAATTTTTGTCACTATTCAGAAAATTGGGAAGTCCAGAATTATGATACCAGCAGATTTCTCTCTGCTTCCAAGTTAACATCTTGTGGTTACATTTTCTAGAGGTAAAAACATTTTTTTCTTTCTCACATTAATGAAAGCAGAGGATTTTTAAAAAGGGATGAATTGTCTCTGAATTTTTTTTTCTTTTTAAGCAGGACTGATGTTTGAACTCAGACCTTAGCACTTACAAAGCAGGCACTCTACCACTTGAGCCACACCTCCAGTCTCTCTTTGAGGCTTCTTTTAGAAAGGAACTAATCCATTCCTGAGGGCAGAGCCTTTATGATTTAATCATTTCCCAAAAGACCTACAATATGGAAAAAGTTTCAACAAGGAGTTTAGGGGAAACTAGATTGAAACCATAGCATTCCATCTCTTTTTTTGTCTCATCCTATTCATGTCCTTATCACATACAAATTGCATTAATCCCATCCCAAATGTCCCCCACCAAAGACTTAAATCATTCCAGCATCAGCTTTAAATATTTTGTTATTAATCATATCTGATTAGCCTCAAAGGTATGACTCATCTTAAGGCAAATTCCCTGCAGATATGAAACTATCAGACAAGTCACATGCTTCCAAAGTACAGTGGTAGAATAAGTACAGGATAAACACTCCCATTTCTAAAGGGAGACACAGGAACAAGGAATGAGCCGTAGATGCCAAGTAACCCAACAGGAAAACAATGTTAATCTTCTTTGATTCCATGTTTTAACACTGGGCATGTGTTGTACCTCAAGGCCCTGGGAAATCCTGCTCATGGCTGGTGGGTAAAGCTCAAATAGCAACTGTTACGAATTGAGTGTCTTTCATTCCCGCAAGCTAGCCAGACAGTTCTGGGATCACAAAATGTTCTGCATATTTTGCTTCTTCTCCTCCTTCTAGTCATTTCATAGTGCATACATTAGGCTTGTTAATAATGTCCATAAAACCAGGTACCGTGACTCAGGCCTGTAATCCTAGCTACTCAGGAGGCAGAGATCAGGAGGATCACAGTTTGAAGACAGTCTTGAGAAATAGTTTGTGAGACCTTATGTTGAAAAACCTTCATAAAAATAGCGCTGGTGGAGTGGCTTAAGGTGAAGGCCCGGAGTTCAAGCCCCAGTACCACGAAAAAAAATTCTGCAGGCCACGTGAGGCAGAATTGAACATACACAGTTCTGACTCACATAAAGGCATATCTTGTAGCTGCTATAACAAAACACTTCAGACTAAATAATTCATGAAAAACAGAAATTTATTGTTCATCATTCTAGAGACTCATGGTTCTACAGGATGTCAAAGATCAAGGTCCCATTCCTTGATGAGGTCCCATTCCTCGTAAATGGTGTCTTCTCTCAGGGTCCTCACATGGCAGAAGGTGAAAACTAACTCTCTCAAGGATTTTTTATAAGAACACTAATACTTTCCATGAGGGCTAATCATTTCATAATGTTCCCTCCTCTTAATACCATCATATTTGAGATTAAGCTATTACATATTAATTTAGGGAGAATGCAGACATTCAGATCATAGCATTCCAGTCCTGCCTTCTCCCATTTATATCCTTCTCATATGCAAAGTCCATTTATCCCATCCCTATTGTTTCAAAAATCTTAACTTGGTTCAGCCTCAACTTAAAAGTCTAAGTCAAAAGTTTCATTTAAATGTTAAGACTCCATCTATGATTCATTTTGAAGAAAATTTGTATCTAGCTGTGAATTTATAAAAATCAAATAAATTATGAGATTTAAAAATACGATGGTGGGACAAGCATAGGACAGATTTCTCCATTTCAAAAGGGAGATATGGGAAAGGAGAAAGGGATAACATAACTAACCAGTCCAAAAGTTTTTTTTTGTCGGCGGGGGGGTTGTGGCTTTTTGAGTCAAGGTCTGGCTCTATAGCCCAAGCTAGGTTAGAGTTTGTTATGTAGTCCTGAATGACTTTGAATTGGAAATCTTTTTGGTTCCAGGATTATAGACGTGTGTCACCACTCCCAGCAGAAATACTGAATTTAAAGTTCCAAAATAATCTTCTTTGACCAGAAGCCCTGGCTTCAAGACACACTAGAATGGAGATTGGAGTCTCAAAGCTCCAGGTGGACCTGCATAGCAGCTCCTGAGTCATTTTCTGAGACTTTCCCAGGCAGAGTCTATTCATGAGACTTAAGAGGTCTGTGATCACTGGAGCATATCGGTTCCATGGATCAGCTAGGCATTGACCTAGTCAAGGCTTTTGGATTTTTGGCATTAATATTCATATTTTATGTGGGAATAGTTCTTTAATATGTAACATAATCACTTGGAGGACTTGTTAGTTGCCAATTGATGTCGCCTATCTCTGTCATTTCTGATTTAACGAGTGTTGGGTACAACTTGAGAATTTGCTTTCTAATAAATTCCAAAATGAAAGTGATGCTTCAGATGTAAGGACCACTCTTTAAAAACCAATCATATTGCAACAATTTAAATTTTAAAACCATGACTTAGTCTTTGTGTAAGACATTATTGGAATAGAGGGATAAATATCATTACATCTAAATATACTAGTCAGCTTCATGTTACTATAACAAAATCCTTGAGATAGTTATCTCATAAAGATAAAAGTTTATTTTGGTTCATGGTTTTGAGGTTTTACACTAAAATCAGGTGGACAATTACTTTGGGGACCTCTGGCAAGGGCCCTGGAAAGCAAACTGTTCACAGCATTATCCAGGAAGCAAAAAAAACAGAGACCGGGGTCCCATGAGTCCCTTCAAAGACACATCCCTAATTATCTAATGACCTCCCACTAGGCCCCACCTTCCAATAGCACCAACCTGAGGAACCATGTTTTCTACATATAAGTTTTGGGGATACTGATCCAAGCCACAGTAGTAAACATACATTGATAATTATGAATTGTACTATTGTTTCTAGAAAACTGATAAAACAATCTTTATAATTTTTCATCAGAATAAAAGTAGGCATTTAGAATTTACTTGTTACTGCAGAATATAAGTGCAAAGTAAGAAAATAAAACATGGATATGAATTTTTAGTTTGTCCTTCATACTTTTGATCCCCTATTTTATATTTCTGTCACAATACAAAGATTGTAAATGTTATTGCATAAACAGTTTAGTATTGATGGCCTGTGTCTATAAACCACATAACTTATCACATGATTTAGTGCAGCTAATCATCTTAACTGTTTATCTGGAAGCTTGCTTTCTTTCTTCTGTGCTTAGCTGCAAATTTAATTAGCTTAAAATATTATTACCCTTATAATTTTCTGGTTAAGTAACAGTAATTAAGCTGTCAGTGAAAAAATTTTTTGAATGCATACAAGAACGTAGCACACATGCAAATTCTGTTATGCTGCAAACAGGAAAGCTATGTCAAAAATGGCAATGGTAGAACAAAATGCATTGCCTTGAGGAGAATTGATTTAGCTGTTGCCTGAGAGTGTTTTCCAACTACTCCTTTCAAATATAGTATTAATGTACATCTGTTTTATTTGTTTGAAGATTATTCTCTGAGTGCACATATCTGTCAAATTCAAGAATCTTTTATAATGTGGATGTCAAATATTGCATTTCTGAATATGTGATTCTGCAGAAGCGACTT